CTCCAGGTGCGGGAGGCAGTGCCTCCGAGAAGCCAGCCAGGGTTGCAGCGCCGTCCACGATGCCTGGGTAGTGGGGCAGCTCATCGTACTGAGGGAGGCAAGAGGGGAGAGCTCAGGGAGGCATCAGCACCAGCAAGAGCCCTCCTGGCCCTGGACCGGAGACTCCCTCTCCCTCTCCCTCTCCCTTCACAGGAACCCACACTGGCCTCCAAGTGCCCCAGCCATGCCCCTCATCCCCCCCAAGACCCTCCATGCCCCGTGGAGCTGTGTGGGACTGGGGTCCCTGTCCAACGGCCTGCTCTTGTACCCTGGGCTGTGACAGAAGTCCCATCAGAGACTCCTGAAGTGTGGGCAGGAAGGCCCAGAGGAGAGAGACAGACCCAGGTCTCCGACCTGAGGGTCAGGGTGTGTGTGTGGCGGGGTCGGGGGGTGAGGGGGGTCAGGGATCAGGTGGCTGGTAGCTGCCAGGTCCTCACAGAATGAGGAAGAGAGGAAGGAGGGGAGGAAGGCCTGGAGACAGATTTAGAGAAAGACAGAGGGAAGGGGGGAAAGAGAGGGAGAGAGAGAGCGAGAGAAGGTGAGAGCGATAGAAAAAGAAAGGCAAAGAGAGAGAGAGACAGGGGACAGAGAGGTGCAAAGAGGCAGAGGGAGAGTGGAGAGGGTGAGACAGAGAAGATGCAAAGGAAAGAGGCAGAGGCCGGAGAGAGGTGGTCACTACGGACACTTCCCAGGGAAACGGTGCATGGCTTGTACCCAATGCAGTCTCCCCACGTCAATTTCACTTCAGTTTTCAAATAAGCACAACCAGTCACAGCCCACTCACCAGGTGGGTCCAACACACACACACACACACACACACACGCGCGCGCCAGAGCCAACTGCCAGGCACAGGAATGAATGAATGAATGAATGAATGAATGAGGCATTTCGCACAGTGCCTGGCACACATTCAATCAACTCTTGTTGAACGGGGTGTGGGGGGCGGGGGAAACCGCCAAATCCCACACCCGCACAAGCTCACTTTTGCAAACAGCCCCCCAGAACCCACGGGCAGCGGGCGAGATCTCTGTGCCCCGTCATCCCAGGAGCACACGCGCTGGGAGCCCGGGACTCCGAGCGCCCAGGTCGCACCCATCCCTTGGAGATGCAGAAACTGAGGCTTAAAGAGGCGAAGGGACTCGGGGGCGCGGGGGGCCCTGGGTCTGCCCCCCTCCTTCACTCCCTCCCCGAACTTCGGAGCCTGAAGTTGCTCCAGCGGCTCCGGGCGGTTCTCCACACCACCCGCTCCTCCTGCGCCTCCAGCCCCCGGGCGCACACTCACCTCCTCGCCGCCGCCTCCGCTCAGCGCGTCCCCGGGACAGAAAGGGGCGGGGGACCCACCTCCCCCAGCACCGTCCCCACCCCGAACCCCCGAGGACTTGGAACAAAAGTCCAGCGGGAGAAGGATGGGGGCAGCGGAGGAAGCGAGGGGGTGGGGGAAAG